TGTGCTGAGTCATTTTACCCCATCACACCGGCTCGACTGGGTGTTAACAGCCAGGCACAGCTTCCACCTTCAGACAGGCCCAGACTTGCCTTGTACAATGATTAGTCCTGCTTGTCTTACACTGGACACAATGGACTCTTCCTCCTTGCCATGCATCTTTATTGACCCATTGCTAACTTGAAACGGACTGACATAGAAAGAAGGGCAGCACAGAATGACTTACTAGGAACAATGAGACATGTGCAGTTTGAGAGAGCCACCTGGTTCAGACCACCAGGGTATGCTTGTCACTTGGTGTAAAAATCATGTTTGAAGTGACACTAAAACCTCAGAGATATTCTGTTTTAGCCATATTTGTCAAGATGAGAGAATAGCGTACCTTGCTTGCCAACAACGAAACAGCTTACTATAAAAGCTGAAGTTGTACAATCACTACTTTAGTGAGTGTCTGACACATACTCAAACTCAAAATTTACTTCATAATTGGCGTATGTATTTGTACGTTGGATGAAGTATCCTAACATGACCTCTGACTGAAGACATTTCCAAAAATCTAACACTTCTTCTTATTACTTAGATTTGACAGCTTGAACCACTGACCTCAATATCTTTTAATCAACATACAGTGGCACTGTTATCTCACATGTTTTCCAATATTATTTAGACAAGCTTAATGCTAGGGAAGCGAATACCAATCCCAGAGGTACACCTGTTGTACACTTTAATGTAACCACTGTGCACAATTAACTTCACCATGCTCTCGGGGAAACATACTCCAATAAAGGGGAGCAGTTTAAACCTCACAACCCTTTCTTCGTCTCATCTTGTTTTCTCTCTGTGTCTTCCATTTACAATCTCTTCCTAGCTCTTCCTCCTGTCTCCCTGGGTCCCATGTGTGCTGTCTGAATATCAGATAACTGTTCCATGAAAATGAATCCAGAGAGAGGTAACCCTCTGAGGGAGGGCAGAGGAGGACAGGCTGCGTGCTATACATACAGAGACAGAGCTGGAGAGATGGAGAGAGTTACTAACCATCAGAGAAATGCTAAGAACTTATTCTGGCATTCTTAGAGTGATCACTAATGAGATGTGTGTGTGCATGAGTCCTAATGAGGTGGGACCTCATATTCCGGACTCTAGCCCAGGATCCAGGTAACGTGACAAGTGGTTAGGTCCAGAATGGGCTAAAATCAGACATGTCTGCCATGTAAACTGATTCCATTATTTTGGTTGGATGTTAAGCATCTGGGACAAAAGAAAGTGTAATGTCTTTTTATGGCCTTTTCTGAAAGATCTGGCAAAAGGTACAGAACAAAAAGGACGTCCTTCATTCCAAACCCACAGAGGACACAGCACGGTCCTAACAAGAGCAGATATGCAAGCCTGTGTGTGTGTGTGTGTGCGTGTGTGTAATTGGTGAACCAATGAGTGGTGAATAAGAGCAGGTCTTCAGGACGGCTGGAGGACACATGGTAAGGAAGAGGAGGGCCGTCCTCTGGAGATGACAGGGACACCTGTGTGTTTGTGTGTGTGTGTGTGTGTGTGTGTCTGGGCTTGTATTCAGAAAGTACACACTGAGAGGTAGTTATGATAGGTAGAATTGTTGTTGATGTACAAGTGTGTACAGTTTATTACCACATGATACATGTTACATGTGACAATCTACTTTTTTACATCACACTAAGGTAGGGTGCTCTGTTATAGCTCCTTTGGTCAAGACACTTTTTTGTCCTCATTAGACTGAGGGCAACCACTCGTGTGTTGATGAGAGACACAGACACTCATTAGTTCCTTTCATGGTATCTAATTGGACACTCTTGGACGAAAGATGGAAGAAAATGCAAATTAACTGCTATTGAAAGGACGGAAATACAAGATGGGACTTCAGTCTTCTGTCTGTCTGACGGCTGCACAGGGTCAGAGTACCAAACACATGCTAATGTACACAGTAGAGGTCACTGTGTACTACAGCACGTTTGTTTTTGACGCAACAGTAAACAAGGAAAATAATGGATCAAAAAATAAAACCTCCATGATATTAACGTGGAGACAAAAGGAAGTAATACCATTACTAAGTTACTGTAGTACCAGGGGTTTGTGCAAAATGTCCAAATGATACTTTCACTTTCTTCTTCTTTGGACAACCTGAGCAGCAGCCTAAAAATGCAGCCCACTTTTGTACGATATAACCTGGAGACTACAATACCACTTACTTTTTCTTCAACTCTTATATACGTTCTGTTCATACATAACCACCAATCAGCCCACAACATAACGTGGTGGAACACAAGGTTAGAACTAATGGGCGTGTCATGTTCTGAGTTTCTTTATAGTTATATATATCTAATATAGTTTCTTCACTCTGTTTAATTAAAAAAAAACACACTCGCACACTGTTTTCAGTCCAGCTGGTGTATAGGACCATGGGTCTGAGGGGGAGGAAGATATAACATTACTCCTCATCAGCTCTGCCATAGGTGGAATCATTAGACAGGTGTGTGCTGGGCCTTCCTTGCCCCACCCCCCTTTACACGCATGTGTGTGTGCACCTTAGCTCTGCTCTAGCTACAATGAAGAGAGAGGGTCTGTCATTGGCCACCTGTTGGCCAGCTGTCAGGGTCCCGTTTCAGGGTCGGCATTCTAGGTGGACTAGGATGGATCCATCCATCCTTCCATCTATCCATCCATCCAATTATCCATCCATCCATTCATCAATACTATCCTACTGAAACAGCAAGCATCCATTAAAAGCTGAAATGAAATTTGGAGAAGGAAGGAGAGGAAGAGTGTCTGAGTCTGGGTTGTACCTGAGTGTGTCTCGTTTGATGCTGTTCAATAGATACAATCCTCCTCGTGACACATTACCATCTCTATAGGAGATGTGATGTAGAGTTGGGGGGTGGGGGCTGCAGTGGTGGAGGATTTGGAAAAAACAAATGATGAATGACTGATGGAAAGAGGGAGGCATGAAATGGACAAGTGGATGAGGCTGAGGAGGAGGGGGACGATGATGATGGGATGGAGTTGGATTGGAGATGAGGAGAGGTGTGTGGAGGTGGGAGGGGAGAGAGATAATTTCCTACAAGGAGTCTGTAGGGGGAGAAAGGAAGGACGGTGGGGAAAGGGGGGTTGGGGGAGTTCTAATGGCTCTTGTTGCTGCTGCTATTAGGACCAAGCATCCACTGCTTGACAGAATAGAATAGTCCTAAGATGATTTCTCCTCATCTCTGTGTTGAAAGGGTCTTTATTTTGACAGAGGTCGTGGATTCTACAGCTACAGAAGTGGGAGAATATATATATGACAGTGTTGATTTATATCATGTCAATATATCAGTAATATTATATACTGTATAGAGTTCTAGCATGCAGGCTAACCATGTATGCTAAAGACTAATAGAATAACTCCCCCAGATATTTCTTTCTTGTTTTTTCTTATATCTTCTTTTCTGTCTTATGGCATCTCTATGAACTTTTTAAAGTGCACATGGAGAGGAAATAGAAAATGTTTTCTATACGCAGATGAGTGTTTGTGCTGCTCAGCCTCTCAGCTGCTCTCTAACACAAGTACTCACTTACTTAGACTCATTTACAGACAAGACCTAATGAATTCCTGTGTGTGTGTGTGAGAGAGAGGGTGGGAGGGAGGGAGAGAGTGATGGGTGATGAGAGGGAACAACAGGAAGAAGCAGCAGTCTAAACACACACACACACGATGAGGGTTCTGCACGCTAATAAACCTCCTGCTTGAATTAATGACATTCAAATCCCAGAGTACGACAGCACAGATCAGCTCCATGATGCTGTTATAATCCCAGCTTTTTACCCTGACAGAGCAGAGCCACAGTCGCGACGCACACTGGCAAGTTACTGGTCTTACAGTGCCACCTAGCGGACATTAGGCGCAATAGAATTACGGTAGAGTTTCTTTAATTCAAATAATAAATAAAAACATCAAATTAAAATAAAAAACAAATAATAATCATAACAAAAAAATTAACATCAGATTGCCATTTTTTTCAGGTTCTAAAGCATTTTTTCTACCGTTAATGTCTAAGTGGAAATGAGTCAAAAATATATGAAACTCCAAATAACACCATTATGAACTAAAATTAAATATACATTAAAATACCTTAGTAATATACATTAAAATACCTTAGTACTAAGTACAGTACACGAAGAAGAGAATACGATATTAATTTACCTCATCAACTCCCTCCCCCCACACACACTATAAACAGGTGTACTTAACTATGACTAGAAAAATATTCACAATATATTAATTACACAAAATTAATTACTGTTTAATTCAATTTGGTATTTGTACTGGCAATGATTTATTAACAATTCCAAACGTTTACATTAAGCTAAGAAAAAAGGGGCGAGCGGCCTTACCTCTAAATGCAGAGACGTTCACGTCAGTCCAACAGAATGTAACTGAGATTTTCTTTCATCTGCTTCAGATTAAGTAATCCACAACGTTCCCTCAGAAATGAAAAAAAAAATGGGTTTATTTTGCTTATTTTGACGTTTTTAATTTGTGTGGACGTGGCTGCCAAAAAAGTACACAGCAGTTTCGTCTCTGTTTCCTAGAGCCAATAAACGACCGCAGACAAAATAGGGGGCGGTACTTAGTCCTAATACTGTTTATTAATTGGATAAATCGCCCGGGCTCAGAACTGCCAAACTGATCCCAAACCAAACTCATCTGGTTTAAATGCTACGAAACATACACTGCTAACTCCTTAGCTTATGGCTAACTCAGTTCATTGTATAATAGCTGTTTAGCTTATATTTCTTTATGTAATTTGGTAATTAAAAACAATCTTACTAATACGCATGACTAAAATTATATATGTTTACACACATCCTTTACCAACTTACTTACAAACTTACATGGGTCTAACGACCACTTTCTCAGTCTGTGTTTTATACCTATTGGTGTAACAACTAATGCAATATTAACTTGCACGTTTGGACAGAATAAATAAAATAATCAAAACTATTGTCTTCTTGTGTTTATTGTTAGGTTGCTAAAACGCGACCATTTACAATTACAAAACAACAAACAAAACAAAACACCCAGACAGAAAAGTAATCAACATTCTAATTGTAGGTAAATAAAAACATTTGTGACATAAGTGCAATAAAACATTGTGTTAACAAAAACATGATTTTGTCTGACGGTGAAATTCTGTTCACCAGAATATGTAGCAGTTTTGTATGATTAAGGCATTCTTCCTGAATGGTTAGTTAGACTACTTTGCAGCAGTAACAGTGTGAGATGTTACATTTTGGCCACTAGGAGGCGCTGTTCCGTCACGTAAGGGGAGAATTGGTCCAGCGCTCACAACCAATGACTTTTCACCATTTTCAGTCGAACGTTGTTCGCATGCAGATATTTGCCTGACGGTTTTTATGCATAGGTTTTTTTTCAGTCTGGTGTTCAGACTGGTCCAGTTTGGCTGATTGTTCTTGCAGCATTTATTCAACTTCTCCCCATCCTGCTCAAGGTCAGAGGAGGTGAGCGTTCAGATCATACTTCTCACAGAACTTGTCAGTGATGGGAATGCAGGTGAGGTACTCGCACCAGTCACACTTTATCGGGTAAACGTAGAAGAGAATGGCAAGAGCGACAACCAGAGCAAGGAAGATCAGCGGGAAGACCAAGATCTGGAGCCGCTTACGGAACGTATCAGAATGCCCAAAACTAGAGGAAGGAATAAAGTTTATTGTTATTCTTTTAATTTCACAGCAAGTTTTGAACATAACTTAAATTATTAGTCAGAGAAATATCTAAAAGTTAAATATAAAGCAACGTCAAACTAGCATTAAGCTATTCGATAAATTTGTCCATAATATAATATAATATAATATAATATAATATAATATAATATAATATAATATAATATAATATAATATAATATAATATAATATAATATAATAACGCAAACTTTTCAACCTGATGTATGGCAGGAAGGCAAAGGACAGGAAGAATCCTGACACAAAACCGCAGATGTGGGCAAAATTGTCAATCCACGGAAGCAGACCAAAGGAAAAGAAGAAGATGGAGATGGCCAGCAGCTTGACGAACGCCCACCAAGGTCTCTCCAGGATTTGCCAGCACTGAAACAGTTCCACAAACAGACAGGCCAGGATACCAAACTGACTGCCTGCAGGACCCACCTGAAGAGAACACACAAGAGCCACAGCAATCAGCCCAGTTCCTGTTGGCTGTTTCACAAATTCTGCATAGAGGATAGTTGTAGTGTCTGAGGTGAGAAACCCTAACCTCTGCTCTGTATGGGAGAAAAATGGCCGAAGCCAAGTTGCCAGTGACGCCACTGAGCATGTAGATGATGGAGATCCTCAGCCAACCGGCCAGCTTCTCTATATCCCTCAGCACAGTCATCTGGAATAACACTGACACCAGACAGTGCAGGATCCTGCAGAGACAGAGGAATGGTGTGTGTTAGTTTAACCCCAGGAAGAGAAACGAGACATTTAAGTTTTTTTTAAGATCATTTTGTGATCTGTTCATTCACCCTGCGTGAAGGAAGAGAGAGAGCCACAGTCTGGAGAACTGATCTGGTTTCTCTGGGTTCAGAAAAGGTAGGAGACCACAAACGTCGTCCATACAGGCCACCTGGTGGAGAAAAAATGGAATAGGAAAAGTCAGTCGACATCTGCAAACGACTGCAGGGACATGAACTAAACAGGAGAAAACAATTTAGAAGTTCTATGAAAAAGAAGGTGCATCATTTCATCATTTAAGTCAAGAGTTGTTTCTTATCTTTATTTTTCAGGTGTAAATACACACTGTGTGTACGCCCTCTGTAGCATCCCTCTTGGGCTTGTGCCCAAGACAGCACAAGCCAAGGATGATTCTATCACTCTATGTTTATCAATTTTAACATTTTATTGGACTAAAACTTTAAATGCATTTTTACTATTGCAGGGGGTAGCCAGAATTGAACTGGGGACCTCTTGATCGGCAGTCAAATGCTCTACCACTGAGCCACACCCCCTCTCCTGCACTGAAGACCTTTTGCCATTGATCCGCCTCTATATGCCAGTAGATGTACAAAAAGTTACTACATTTTTGATGAGTTTTACGTTGAAGAAGAAAGCTTAGTAAAAATGTCATCAGTGCTACAGGTGTCACCCAGATTTGAATTCTTGATCTGCAGTCCACTGAGCTCCACCCCCAGTATGTACCTGTGAGCAGAGTGTAGCCTCCTCATGAAAGTGTCCCTGCATGAAGTCGCAGAACTCTCTGGAAGTGATTTCACATCTGAAACACAGAAGCAGGACATTGAACAAACGTTGCCAAAAAAACCCCCAAACATGTTAAATCCATTTCCTTCACTTCTACGTCAGTGTGATGTTTCCTCACCGTCCCTTGGTTCCAATGCAGCAGGGCCGGCCTGTAATTGTGCAGTCGATGTGAGGGAGGTTGGTGTGATTTACGGAGTTGTGTCGTGTACAAACCTGCAGATGATGAACACAGGGATTGTTTTTAACAGAACACATAAATACAACAAGTCCACACTGACACAGGATATCAATCTGTTTGCCTAATCTCTAGTGACTGTAATTTTACTTACTGGCCACTTGGTGATGTCATCAGGCCACTCATGAGGCGTAACAGATGCAGGCTCCAGGCAAATCCTGCAATTTAACACACAATGTAATTAAAGGAAAGGAATCAAAAAGGCGAGGACAGTGTTGGACCAGTCCCCACATGGGGAACAGTAGTTACTGAGTCACTGGGTGTTTCTGGTGACACACGTTTAAGTAGTTGAAATGTTTTTATTTAGAAATCACTCCCAGATCAATTGTTCTACATTTTAATGGCAGAGGATGAAGTGAGTAAAAGTGGACATGTCTGATATGAAGGGATGTACTTGGAACAGTTTGTTTTATGATTACAAAGTGTAGCAGAAGTGATGTAAATTATTCAAAGTTAAAATTGAAACCCGATGATTCTGTTTGGATTTTTCTATTACAGTGGTCCTCTGAGCTGAGGTACACGTACTGGCAGTGGTACTTGAGCCCCCTCTAGTGGTATGAAAGAGAATATGACTTTTTTTTAATCAGCATTAATAGAAGAAGAAGCTTTATTGTCCTTGTACAAATACCTATCCTTAGACAGCAGAGATTTTAGAAGAACTCTTGAAACAAAGAAATTAAAGCTCGGTCCTTAATTGGGTGAAAAAAATCCACTTCAATTTGTGCTTAGCTGAGCTGAGCCTGACAGTGCTTCTCTTTTTCAATGTTAAGGAGCTTCATTTCATGACTGTTAATGGACTGCTGATACCTGGGGTCCTGGTGACACACTGCACCATGTTGTCTTAGTTCACTGTTCAGATGTGGAGCACTGGGATGTTCAGGCCACTTCACCCACACTGCCAGTGTACTCTAAAACAAACAACATCCAGAGTTAATCATGGTTGAAGGCAGGTCCTTGAGAGGTCTCTCTTAGTACTTTGTTAATATTGTGTATTTTTTCTGACCGAACACTCTTCTTGTGACGTCTGCAGGCAGCCGGAGCGATCGTTTCTCACACAGCAGCCGGACTCCCTCTCTTTTGCCCTCTTTTCCTGGATCAGTTTCTGTATTTCTTCGTCCTGACGCATACAGGGGGAAAACTTGGCCCCCAGGTGGATCAGTGCCTCCTATGGAACAGCACCACAGTCCAGCATTAACGAAATCTAAAAAATGCTTGGAGCATTTCAGTAGCAAAACTGCAGTTTAAAAGGACTATAGGTGACCAGCAGGGGGCGACTCGAACATGAAAAATCATGCAGCTATTTTATTGTGGGAAATCACAATTTGTGGGTGAATGTAACAGTTTCATTCATAATAATTAGACAAAATACTCACTGAACTCGGACCAACCCAGAAGTTTTGCTGTTGCACAAACTTAACGTTCTCATAGACGCCTTTGTTCCTCAACACCTAAAGGAGAAAGTTTCCTGATTCACTTAATGCTCCATATTTATAGGGAAATGCACAAACGTTTTATTCTGACCTACAGAATCAACTGTTTCGTGTTGGGAGAAGCCGATGGGAGCGATGCCATAAATGACCACAGCCAGAATGGTGATGAGCAAATGGACAAACGTGATCCAGTATGTGAAGAAAGGCCTGGAGATGACAGGACGCAGCAAAAACACATCATATACTGTAACATATTAAAACCAAATCAAATATCTAAGTCGAGTGGGTTGTAATTATAAATCTAAGATTTCACTATCGATGGAGGACTTGCTAAAAATGAGACACAGACAGAAAAAAAATACAGTAATAAAACTGCTTTTAGCCTTGAGCTTTTAGTCCAAATGCTAGCCAATCATGTTATTTTGGTTTGCAAAATATCCATGAATAAGAAGTCTGCGTCAAAATATTGTAACAGTGAAGTTGGCAGTAAAGAATGCTAAGAGTTAACCAGGATTGTGTGTCACATTTAATCAACATTTCAAAAAATGCCACCTGAAAATGGAATTTTCTTCCAAGTGGCAATAATAAAAAACCACGTTTACCTGTGATCGTCCATGTCTTCAATCTGTCTTTTCACAAAGCTGTCGATCCGTTTACGGTATGACCTGTTAGTGAGACGTCCAACTATCCCCAGGCCGTACGGCCTCTTCTCTCGGGCAAAAAGTCTTTTTACAGGAACCACAATCCGCTGTCCCCGCTGCTGATGGCTGCCGATGCTAACTACTTCCTGTTTCAGTCGCAGTTTAGGTTGGACCAGGGAGCCGTCCTTGGTCTTTCTCCATCCTCGCTCTGAAGGCCTTGAATAAGGAGCAGGACAAACAGACAAAAAGTTGATATGTCTGTATAATGTCAGTATTCTGTTTGGATTTTTTTCAAATACACCAGCATGTGCAAAAATAAACTCACAACATCAGGTGGCTCCTCTCCAGCTCACTCTTATCCAGAGCACTTCCTGTGAGCTCCACCTCATCCACCTCTTTGAAGGCAGCCTCTGATGTGGTTTCAAAAACCTCATCTGCATAGCTGGACAACTCATCCTGCAGGCCGTCCTAAAAAACAAACAATTTTAAAACCAAAATGATGAAATGAAACGATAATGCAGTATTCCTTAGTAATTAAACAGAATAATTACGTTGACAAATCCAGTCTGAATTCATTTTAAATGCTTTGTTTATTAAACAATGTTTTTGTCTAATCTTGAATTATATATATATTTCTAAATATAATAATAATAATCTGTGCTCTGCTCACTCTGGTAAAGAAAGAAGTGTCCAGATCATCAGAGAAGTCCACTGTGTCCTCCTCAAAGAAGCTCGGAAGAATGAAACTCCTTCTGTGTTGGCGTCCTGCGGTGGTCTCCACCAAGGTCCGACCCTGGCACAGCCAAAAACAGAGGCACACATCACCAACTGTTAACATTTATACAAATTTGTTTTACACATTTGTTTGTGCCCAATAAGTAATCAAGCACCAAATTATGCAAACAGCCACATAACTAGAAACTCAAAAACAAATACTTTAAATTGACACCTGGCTTTCTCACCTGGCAACACTGAGTTAAAGTAACGAACGCAGCCTTGTTTAAATTTCACCAAATTTGTGTTGGTGGTTACATTGTGTAGTGGTTATCTCGGCTGCTTACACATCTGCCTTACACACAGAAGGTCCTGCGTTCGAGCCCCAAAGCAACCATATATTTGTAGTAGTTCCCCAGTGTGGGAGCATAAAAGTTCTCCTTTAAAACCAGTTCAAGATCAACATCACAGCTTGTGACATCAGTTTCACTCTGATGTCACGGGATTAACTGTTTTCTGGAATATTCTGTCAACCAGTATCTGAACATTCCCTGCACATATGACCACGGACCATCTGCTGCTGGATGCTCTCACTCTGTGGGCAGGAAGTCTACACACAGAGAGCAGTCTCTGTACAGTAACCTACACTGTACAGCACAGAGGTTTAATCCTCATCAGCCGACCTCATGTTTTACATAACATTCCTACAGACGGACTAGGAGGAAAATCCCATCCCGATTCAAATGTGTGGAAAAGGGATCACATCTGGACGTTGAAGCTGAGGTTTAACAAAAAGGTCTGAGTTAATCTTGGATAATATCAGTATGAATGGAGAGTCAATGGATTTCTGTACTGTAGGGAGTCAAAGCTTGTACATTTCCCAGCCAGCATTAGTTAAAACAAGAACTTCTCTGATAGAAATACACAGCAGCTTAGAAGAGAGTGAAGCAAAAGTTCTGCAAAGCACGGGTTTGGTTCGTCTGAAACATGGAAATAAACCTTGACACCTTCATCAGTGCAGCCGCAGCCTTCAGACTCATGACAGCGACAGACTCCCGTTTTCGCCTCCGCGGCAGACGGTTGAGGGCAGAGCGGGAGCTGGAAAAGGAGCAGAGGGAGGCGGTGCCGGGGGTGATGGGAGTTTGCGGTACACTGAAGCCGTCAACCTCTTCCACCATGCGGAAGGCACGACCCCGAGCCAGGGGGTCTACAATCTGCGCACACAAACACACACACAGACAAACAAACACACACAGACAGACACACAAACATAAAAATTGTAGCTAAGACAGTAGAAAATTCACCTTGTCAGTTATTTTTGTATATTTGGTTTTTGGGGTGTTTTGGATCTTTTCCATGAGAATTAAGACAAATAATAAATCACTATTCAATTACTGCATGCTGTCTTTCTGCTCCATTTTATCGATTGTTTGGCTAATTTATAAGGTTTCCGTGTAAATTGTGGAAATGTAGCCCTGACCATTTCCCACTTAAGTACCAAAAAAAGGCAACAACAGGGGAAACACGAACATGAGTAACCAGGGTTAGACTGATGGGTGAGGAGAGGCAGCTGGGTGTGTTTGACTGTAGAAGTTGGTTTGATGTCAACGTTATTGTTAGTAAACCTTAAGCTTTTATTCCCAACCCTCATCAGTCGAACCCTAAGTGTGAAGCAAAGAGATAATGCAAGCGTCGCAACATTTAGAGAACATTTTAAAACCAAAATGATGAAATGAAACGATAATGCAGTATTCCTTAGTAATTAAACAGAATAATTACGTTGACAAATCCAGTCTGAATTCATTTTAAATGCTTTGTTTATTAAACAATGTTTTTGTCTAATCTTGAATTATATATATATTTCTAAATATAATAATAATAATCTGTGCTCTGCTCACTCTGGTAAAGAAAGAAGTGTCCAGATCATCAGAGAAGTCCACTGTGTCCTCCTCAAAGAAGCTCGGAAGAATGAAACTCCTTCTGTGTTGGCGTCCTGCGGTGGTCTCCACCAAGGTCCGACCCTGGCACAGCCAAAAACAGAGGCACACATCACCAACTGTTAACATTTATACAAATTTGTTTTACACATTTGTTTGTGCCCAATAAGTAATCAAGCACCAAATTATGCAAACAGCCACATAACTAGAAACTCAAAAACAAATACTTTAAATTGACACCTGGCTTTCTCACCTGGCAACACTGAGTTAAAGTAACGAACGCAGCCTTGTTTAAATTTCACCAAATTTGTGTTGGTGGTTACATTGTGTAGTGGTTATCTCGGCTGCTTACACATCTGCCTTACACACAGAAGGTCCTGCGTTCGAGCCCCAAAGCAACCATATATTTGTAGTAGTTCCCCAGTGTGGGAGCATAAAAGTTCTCCTTTAAAACCAGTTCAAGATACTTTTGTTGTTGTTTATTAGACAGAGACATCACAGCTTGTGACATCAGTTTCACTCTGATGTCACGGGATTAACTGTTTTCTGGAATATTCTGTCAACCAGTATCTGAACATTCCCTGCACATATGACCACGGACCATCTGCTGCTGGATGCTCTCACTCTGTGGGCAGGAAGTCTACACACAGAGAGCAGTCTCTGTACAGTAACCTACACTGTACAGCACAGAGGTTTAATCCTCATCAGCCGACCTCATGTTTTACATAACATTCCTACAGACGGACTAGGAGGAAAATCCCATCCCCGATTCAAATGTGTGGAAAAGGGATCACATCTGGACGTTGAAGCTGAGGTTTAACAAAAAGGTCTGAGTTAATCTTGGATAATATCAGTATGAATGGAGAGTCAATGGATTTCTGTACTGTAGGGAGTCAAAGCTTGTACATTTCCCAGCCAGCATTAGTTAAAACAAGAACTTCTCTGATAGAAATACACAGCAGCTTAGAAGAGAGTGAAGCAAAAGTTCTGCAAAGCACGGGTTTGGTTCGTCTGAAACATGGAAATAAACCTTGACACCTTCATCAGTGCAGCCGCAGCCTTCAGACTCATGACAGCGACAGACTCCCGTTTTCGCCTCCGCGGCAGACGGTTGAGGGCAGAGCGGGAGCTGGAAAAGGAGCAGAGGGAGGCGGTGCCGGGGGTGATGGGAGTTTGCGGTACACTGAAGCCGTCAACCTCTTCCACCATGCGGAAGGCACGACCCCGAGCCAGGGGGTCTACAATCTGCGCACACAAACACACACACAGACAAACAAACACACACAGACAGACACACAAACATAAAAATTGTAGCTAAGACAGTAGAAAATTCACCTTGTCAGTTATTTTTGTATATTTGGTTTTTGGGGTGTTTTGGATCTTTTCCATGAGAATTAAGACAAATAATAAATCACTATTCAATTACTGCATGCTGTCTTTCTGCTCCATTTTATCGATTGTTTGGCTAATTTATAAGGTTTCCGTGTAAATTGTGGAAATGTAGCCCTGACCATTTCCCACTTAAGTACCAATCAGACACTGAAGACATGACACATGGGAAAAGGCAACAACAGGGGAAACACGAACATGAGTAACCAGGGTTAGACTGATGGGTGAGGAGAGGCAGCTGGGTGTGTTTGACTGTAGAAGTTGGTTTGATGTCAACGTTATTGTTAGTAAACCTTAAGCTTTTATTCCCAACCCTCATCAGTCGAACCCTAAGTGTGAAGCAAAGAGATAATGCAAGCGTCGCAACATTTAGAGAACAAAGAGGGAGAGAGAAAGAGAGGGAGAGACAGCAAAAAGAAGTGAACCATTTGCCCTGTTTGTGCCCCGGGCTCTGGCCTACCCTCTGCATGCCAAGGTGGTGGTGACTGGGGTGGTGGGAAGGGAGGTAGAGGGGGGGAGGGGTCTCAGTGCTTGCCAGGGAGAGGTTGTCCTGGCTCTGCAGCTCCATTTCCCTCACAGCCAGGGCCTTCAGGCCTCCGTACAGATGGCTGCAGTGCTGCAGGCTCTTCCTCCTCCATCGCTGGCTGCTGTCGCTGTCTTTACTCACTCCAAACCAGTCGGCCGTACCCCTGGAGAGAGGAGGAAGCGGTTGGGGTTAGTGACCTGATTCATGCACGGCGGCAGCTCCAAACCAGAAAACATGGAGAAGACAAAGAGAAGCAAAAGTAACACGGTTATTTTGTTCAATTATTTATACTATGCTGCATGGCCCCAAGATGAATGTTACTATGGTTGGAAACAGTGAGGAAACATGAGGAAATTAAACAGGAGAAGGTCTACTGTAAACACTAATGGATCATTTCACCTGGGAGGTGGGACAAAGACAAACAATCAGACACCAACTGTGCATTAATGACTCCAGTAAAAGGGTGATCACAGAGAGGGTTTTTACCCCAGATGTCCATCATGTGGCAACACAGCCTGGATCTAAAGAGCTGGTGGAATCAAACCTACAACTTTATGCATGGCTAGCAAGAATCCTGCAACTGTGCCAGTCTAAACTCTCTTAGATTCCTAGAATGATGTGACAGAGTAAGGAGCATCTAAAATAAAACTTTAAAGACAATATGTTGAACAGGTTTGCCTCACACATGATATTGTACAAATGCAGGACTGTTAAGTGTTAAACCTAAAAATAAAAATAAAAATTTCCTGAGATCTTAATGTACACATTAAAAAAAAGTTCAGTCGTCAACTCCTGAGTTACTCAGGTCACTTTGGTGATTTTTTGAAAACTGAGTCATTACAAGATGAGCTGATGGAGTGTTTCCTGTAACACTATGCCTGTCTTCTGTGTTCAGGCCGCGCTGAGGAAGCAGATGTTTCTGACTGTTTCTGCAGAGAACAACCTCACGTGTTGTTTGTTTCTGTTTCTCTCATCAGAACTAATTTTCTCTGCCTCCTTCCATTGGCTGTTCAAGCCCAGCTGTGTGGTGACTAATCAGGAGTAGTTGAAGTCCACAGTAAAAAGGAAACTGTTTGGAGAGCAGGACACGGAGTAATAAACACTTGGTCGACTATCATCCAGAGAGACTGCAGCTGGGGAAGCCTTTTAAGGCTGCACACGGGGCAGAGAGGGGCCGGCGTGGAGCCGACTCTTGTCCTTCCAGGGAAAAAGGAAGTCAGATTCCGGTCAGTGCAGGAGGAGAGACAGAGGGACGGAGATCGAACTGGAAGTTTTTGACTTCCTTTAACTAGTTTTTAACTAGTGTGCTCTGTAACGGTGACATCATCAGTAAACATTTGTAAACACACTTGTTTTTCCCAGGTCAGTGATTCAGTTAAATATACTTGATTTCCTGATTTCACCGATTCTTCACAGAACTGTCAAAACATCATTTTGATTAGTTTGTCTTGCCTACAGATCGTCATGAATCCAAAGCTACTTTGTGATTAATCGGAATAAAAACAGTCCTAAATCTTCTATCTGTATTTCTTTGCTTACTTTTAGCTTTT